AAATGTCATATTCACGCAGTAAATTCTCTCAGAAACCTTTATTTCTCGTTTTTTAAAGTTTCAACAGTACAGCCAAACAATTTCATCTAAGCTTCTACAACAGCTAGTTTCAGCTTTTTAATGTATGTTTTACTGAATAAAATCACAAATAAGGCATAAACTTCTCAATCATAGACTTCAACAACAACAACGAGAAAGAATAAAATATCTCAAATACAAGAGAAATATCCATCGACTGAAATGATGTCTGTATTATACTGAGGTATTTTACTTTACGTATTGCTTGCTGTATATTACTGTAGTACTGTGACATTCAATACAATTAAATGCATTAAAAATGTAAATAATACATTTAAGAAATCCTAAAAACAAAATAAGTAAAAGAAGAATAGCTGCTTCACACTTTCATAAACATCATAATGCTTTTTACAATATATTTATTATTATCATCTTTAAATCCTGTGCTGACCAGCTGACCATCTTCACACAGATCTTCAACAGATCTCTGGAGCTGTGCGACGTCCCTGCTGCTTCAAACACTCCACCATCATATACCTGTACATACAAAACTGCCTATTTGTATATTTTTATTCCTTATTTACTTGTTCTATTTTTTAATTTTTTATTATCTGTGTTTTTTGTGCTGTCACTGTCATTCTGTTGCACTGTGGAGCTTCTGTCACGAAGACAAATCTATGGTGGCCGAGAAGTGCAGAACAAATCACAGTCCTGAAAACACAAGGACGAATCAGACAAACCGGAAGAGGTAGGTATAGTTTGAGACAGCACCATTGGTTTGGGATTACTCACCGCTGAGTGGACGAGACATCTGCCAATCACCGTATACAGAGAAGAACCAGCCGAAGAACAGCAGAGTCCTGCTAGAAAGTGCGGAGATGGTGTTAAAGTAGCTCAGTTTAAATGTATTGTCTGAATTGCCCTTACTCTGGAATAAAACATATGGTGTATATTTACGTTTAGTTAAAAGTGGCTGTAGAACATCAGCTCCAGCGGCGCAGATGGATAAGCGCGTATCATTGGCTTTTTGACGCGATCGACCCGGGTTCGATACCGCCTTTTGCAGAACTTTTTTCCCTCCCTTTTCAAATCTCGCATCACATCATAAAGGCATTTATTTTCAATAAAAATTAAGGAAATAATCAAAAAGTTGAAAATAAAGTATGGGGTAGGGTTAGGGAGGGCTTTATTGTCCCAATAAGACGGCATCCATTTAATAATTAAAATTATAATTTACACTCAATACGTTATTATTGCATACTGTTTTATAATGTACTACAATACTGAAGAGCAGATAATTGCCACTATTTGCAACAAGTAGTATACGTGATAGTAGAAATCCTGCTATTTTAACATAGTGTAACTAAACGTAAATATACACCATCTCCGCACTTTCTAGCAGGACGCTGCTGTTCTTCGGCTGGTTCTTCTCTGTATACGGTGATAGGCAGATGTCTCGTCCAATCAGCGGAGAGTAATCCCAAACCAATGGTGCTGTCTCAAACTATACCCTCCTCTTCCGGTTTGTCTGATT